TTGATCCCAAAACCAGACAAAGACCCCATCAAAAAAGAGAATTACAGACCAATATCCTTGATGAACATGGATGCAAAAATTCTCACCAAAATACTAGCCAATAGGATCCAACAGTACATTAAAAGGATTATTCACCATGACCAAGTGGGATTTATTCCTGGGCTGCAAGGCTGGTTCAACATCCGCAAATCAATCAACGTGATACAATACATTAACAAAAGAAAGAACAAGAATCATATGATCCTCTCAATAGATGCAGAAAAAGCATTTGACAAAGTACAACATCCTTTCTTGATCAAAACTCTTCAGAGTATAGGGATAGAGGGTACATACCTCAATATCATAAAAGCCATCTATGAAAAACTGACAGCGAATATCATTCTCAATGGGGAAAAGCTGAGAACCTTTCCCCTAAGGAATGCGGCAGGGATGTCCACTCTCACCACTGCTGTTCAACATAGTATTAGAAGTCCTAGCCACAGCAATCAGACAACAAAAAGAAATCAAAGGCATCCAAATCGGCAAAGAGGAAGTCAAACTCTCACTCTTTGCAGATGATATGATACTGTATGTGGAAAACCCAAAAGACTCCACCCCAAAACTGCTAGAACTCATACAGGAATTCAGTAAAGTAGCAGGCTATAAAATCAATGCACAGAAATCAGTGGCATTCCTATACACCAACAACAAGACAGAAGAGAGACAATTCAAGGAGTTGATCCCATTTACAATTGCACCCAAAACCATAAGATACCTAGGAATAAATTTATCAAAAGAGGCAAAGGATCTGTACTCAGAAAACTATAAAATACTCATGAAAGGAATTGAAGAAGACACAAAGAAATGGAAAAACGTTCCATGCTCATGGATTGGAAGAACAAACATTGTGAAGATGTCAGTGCTACCTAGAGCAATCTACACATTCAATGCAATCCCCATCAAAATACCATCAACTTTTTCAAAGAAATGGAACAAATAATCCTAAAATTTGTATGGAACCAGAAGAGACCCCGAATAGCCAGAGGAATATTGAAAAAGAAAAGCAAAGCTGGCGGCATCACAATTCCGGACATCCAGCTCTATTACAAAGCTGTCATCATCAAGACAGTATGGTACTGGCACAAAAACAGACACTCAGATCAATGGAACAGAATCGAGAGCCCAGAAATGGACCCTCAACTCTATGGTCAACTCATCTTTGACAAAGCAGGAAAGAATGTCCAGTGGAAAAAAGACAGTCTCTTCCACAAATGGTGTTGGGAAAATTGGACAGCCACATGCAGAAGAATGAAACTGGACCATTTCCTTACACCACACACAAAAATAGACTCCAAATGGTTGAAAGACCTAAACGTGAGACAGGAGTCCATCAAAATCCTAAAGGAGAACACAGGCAGCAACCTCTTCCACCTCAGCCGCAGCAACTTCTTCCTAGAAACATCGCCAAAGGCAAGGGAAGCCAGGGCAAAAATGAACTATTGGGATTTCATCAAGATAAAAAGTTTTTGCACAGCAAAAGAAACAGTCCACAAAACCAAAAGACAACCGACAGAATGGGAGAAAATATTTGCAAATGACATATCAGATAAAGGGCTAATATCCAAAATCTATAAAGAACTTACCAAACTCAACACCCAAAGAACAAATAATCCAATCAAGAAATGGGCAGAAGACATGAACAGACATTTTTTCAAAGAAGACATCCAAATGGCCAAGAGGCACATGAAAAAGTGCTCAACATTGCTCAGCATCAGGGAAATCCAGATGAAAACCTCAATGAGATACTACCTCACACCCGTCAGAATGGCTAAAATTAACAAGTCAGGAAACGACAGATGTTGGCGGGGATGTGGAGAAAGGGGAACCGAACCCTCCTACACTGTTGGTGGGAATGCAAGCTGGTGCAACCACTCTGGAAAACAGTATGGAGGTTCCTCAAACAGTTGAAAATAGAGCTACCATACGATCCAGCAATTGCACTACTGGGTATTTACCCCAAAGATACAAATGTAGGGATCCGAAGGGGTACGTGCACCCCAATGTTTATAGCAGCAATGTCCACAACAGCCAAACTGTGGAAAGAGCCAAGATGTCCATCGACAGATGAATGGATAAAGAAGAAGTGGTATATATACACGATGGAATATTATGCAGCCATCAAAAGGAATGAGATCTTGCCATTTGCAACGACGTGGATGGAACTGGAGGGTGTTATGCTGAGTGAAATAAGTCAATCAGAGAAAGACATGTATCATATGACCTCACTGATATGAGGAATTCTTAATCTCAGGAAAGAAGGTGACGGTTGCTGGGTTGGTGGGGGGTGGGAGGGATGGGGTGGCTGGGTGACAGACATTGGGGAGGGTATGTGGCTATCGTGAGCACTGTGAATTGTACAAGACTGATGAATCACGGATCTGTACTTCTGAAACAAAAAATGCAATATATGTTAAGAAAAAAAAGAAGAAGATAGCAGGAGGGGAAGAATGAAGGGGAGTAAGTTGGAGAAGGAGATGAACCATTAGAGACGATGGACTCTGAAAAACAAACTGAGGGTTCTAGAGGGGAGGCGGGTGGGGGGATGGGTTAGCCTGGTGATGGGTATTAAAGAGGGCACGTTCTGCGCGGAGCACTGGGTGTTGTGCACAAACAATGAATCATGGAACACTACATCAAAAAGTAATGATGTAATGTATGGTGATTAACATAACAATAAAAATTATTTTAAAAAATAAAGTTAAATTAAATAGACTTGTGCATCCAAATATTGAAGTCCTTAACTAACTTGAAGCTAAACTGAGGTCCTTAACTAAACTACCTAGACCCTCCTCACTTTTTTCCTAAAGTCTCTTGATCCTTCAAGACAAATTCTACTCCCATGTCTTCCAAGCAGCCTCTCCTGAACACCTCAGGTGGAGAACACACCATTCTCTGACCCCATAGGGTTTATTGCCTATACGGTTTATGTTTCCTTCCCCCCCCCATCTTTTTTTCTTCTTCGAAATAACCAGATTTCAGAAGAGGGATGAGCCCTACCTTGGAACATCACACTGTGAGTTCAAAACTCTATTGGGGTTTCTTTTTCACACCCATGATATCAGCATATCACTGATGTTCCAGGGCATCCGATTATAGCTTTGGGGGAATTTATAAATTCATATTCTTTCTAAACAGGTACACACTGCAGATCTCAGTTCTCTGCCCTTTTTCCCAAAGAGTTCCCAGTCTAGGCTGATGAAGGAATACTTCTCCCTACCCCAGCCCCCAAATGCATAAGCCTGCTCTTGTGTTTAAATAAAAATAGCATGTATCCTAATGCAAATTTTAATGATCAGTATATGAAGAACTTACATTAACTCTACTCAAGACAGTATGGTACTGGCACAAAAACAGACACATAGATCAATGGAACAGAATAAAGAGCCCAGATATGGACCCTCAACTCTATGGTCAACTAATCTTCTACAAAGCAGGAAAAAATATCCAATGGAAAAAAAGACAGTCCCTTCAAGAAATGGTGCTGGGAAAATTGGACAGCTATATACAGAAGAATGGAATTCAACTGTTCTCTCACACCATACACAAAGATAAACTCTAAATGGATGAAAGACTTCAATGTGAGACAGGAATCCATCAAAATCCTAGAGGAGAACAGGCAGTAACCTCTTCGACATCAGCCACAGCAACTTCTTTCACGACACATCTCCAAAGGCAAGGGAAACAAAAGCAAAAGTGAACTTTTGGGACTTCATCAAGATAAAAAGCTTCTGCACAGCAAAGGAACAGTCAACAAAACAAAGGGGCAACCCACGGAATGGGAGAAGATATTTGCAAATGACACTACAGATAAAGAGCTGGTATCCAAGATCTATAAAGAACTTCTCAAACTCAACACCCAAAAAACAAATAATCAAGTCAAAAAATGAGCAGAAGACATGATCAAACACTTCTCCAAAGAAGACATATGAATGGTTAACAGACACATGAAAAAATGTTCAACATCATTAGCCATCAGGGAAATTCAAATCAAAACCACATTGAGATACTGCCTTACACCAGTTAGAATGGCAAAAATTGACAAGACAGGAAACAACAAATGTTGGAGAGGTCGTGGAGAAAGCGGAACCCTCTTACACTGTTGATGGGAATGCAAGCTGGTGCAACCACTTTGGAAAACAGTATGGAGGTTCCTCAGAAAGTTAAAAATAGAGCTACCCTATGACCCAGCAATTGTACTACTGGGTATTTACCCCAAAGACACAGATGTAATGAAAAGAAGGGCCATATGCACCCCAATGTTCGTAGCAGCAATGTCCGCAATAGCCAAACTGTGGAAGGAACCGAGATGCCCTTCAACAGATGAATGGATAAAGAAGATGTGGTCCATATATACAATGGAATATTACTCAGCCGTCAGAAAGGATGAATACCTACCATTTGCATCAACATGGATGGAACTGGAAGGGATTATGCTAAGTGAAATAAGTCAAGCAGAGAAAGACAATTATCATATGGTTTCACTTATTTGTGGAACATGAGGAACAGCATGGAGGACACTAGGAGAAGGAAGGGACAAATGAAGGCGGGGAATCGGAGAGGGAGATGAACCACGAGAGACTATGGACTCTGAGAAACAAACTGAGGGTTTCAAAGGGTAGGGGGGTGGGAGATGGGGTAGCCCAGTGGTGGGTATTAAGGAGGGCATGTATTGTATGGAGCACTGGGTGTTATATGCAAACAATGAATCATGGAACACTACATCAAAAACTAGTGATGTACTAACATAACATAAAAAAAAACTACTCAAAACATCTGCATTTTAAAAAAGAGCAAGCATAAATGCACTTAGACCCTGAAATTATCTAATATTCTCCCTCACTGAAAGTCTAAACAATGAATTTAACAACTCTATCATGCCTACCAAATGGTGTCTTTTGGTGTTTATCCAAGTTTCAAGTTTCTGTTTCAGATGATGAAATAAATCACTTACTAATATTTACCTGATTGTAATCATTTTTCTTTCTTTGCCAGGTGAGTAGCATTTTTCCATTTTTTCGATATTAGCAGGATACTGGAACCGTTCTGAGTTGATAAAAAAGAGGGGCTGAGGAATTCTGGAATATATCTCATCATCCAGTGGAAGCATCCAAGCATCCAGGGCAATCCCGCACCTGCAAGAGTTTGGGGACAATGACAAAAGAAGGCTGGTTACACGCTGACTGACATGTGGAATTTCTAATGATGTTAGGTTTAATGGGCATACACCATCCTGGTTTATTATGGGTTATCTCACTGGTATTATACCTCAGTGTGGGAAGGGAATATGATTAGCTTTATAAGGTAGCAGACTTGCAATTATATAATCATTTTCTTTAGGAGACATTTAGGAATTGTGACCTTTAGAAAGATATAGTATCCTTAAAATGTTTTATTCATTTTTGCTACATTGCTTTCAAAATAAATTCTTTTTTTATTGTTATGTTAATCACCATATATTACATCATTAGTTTTTGGTGCAGTGTTCCATGATTCATTGTTTGTTCATAACACCCAGTGCTCCATGCAGAACGTGCCCTCCTCAATACCCATCACCAGGCTAACCCATCCCCCTACCCCCTCCCCTCTAGAACCCTCAGTTTGTTTTTCAGAGTCCATCATCTCTCATGGTTCGTCTGCCCCTCTGACATACTCCCCTTTTCTTCCTCTCTTGTTATCTTCTTCTTTTTCTTCAAAATAAATTCTTAAATAACAATTTCTCCAAAATTGTGGGGTGTCTGCAGACATACAATATATGCCCTATTGCCCCTATGTTTCCAGACCTTCTGGACACTCTGCTGTCAATTTATTATGCCTTTTTCACAGTTAACTGTTGGACCAGTTGCTTTATATTTCGAGGTACTTCACCTGGAAAAGTGTCTGGAGGTTGAAGAAAAACATACGGGGTATATCATTTGAAAATGTAACTTGCTTTTTACAAGTAAGTTTATCCTATGTTACTGGACCTTTTGGATACTCCACTTTATGTGAGAAATGGGCAAAAAAAGAGAATTCCCTTATGGAAACTGATTTTAAAAATTTGTGAGATGAAGTTTCACAAAGGGTCCTACCCATTTTCTAGATGGTTGGCTCTTCATGATCTCATCAAGTCTGTGATGCCGTGGTTCAAGAAAGAAAATATTTTCAAGTTATAAGACTGGCGTCTGGTCCTGACTCTCACCAACTGTAATTTAAGACCTCTATCCATCTTTTTAAAAAAGATTTTATGTATTTATTCATTTATTTATTTGAGAGAGAGAGAGAAAGAGAGAGAGCCAGTGGAGGGAGGAGCAGAGGGGGAGGGAGAGGAGGAGGGAAAGAATCTCAAACAGACTCTGCACTGAGTGCAGAGCCCAACCTGGGACTTGTTCTTAGGACTCTGAGATCATGACCTGAGCTGAAACCAAGAGTCAGATGCTTAACTGACTGAACCACCCAGATGGCCCAAGATCTCTATCGATCTTAAAGATGGAAAAAATAATAATTTAAAAATGCCTTGCATATTGGGGAAATCTAGAAGTACTATAAGATACATTACTGATATCACAACCATTATGTCATAGATAAAATGTATATAAAAGGATAAATTTCCAAGTGAAAATATTAAGCCCTTAAGCAGATAAATAAGAATGATGAGGGAAAATATATAGGAATGGGGAAAGCTTTTAATAGCAAGTAAAGTAGATGGTTTCTGTCTGGGAAAATTCATATAAGGTACTTTATGGAGGCAAAAGAACAGACTTATAAACCCTGAAGGATCCTTTCCTCATTAAGAATTTGATAAATATTCTATCTCACATGGGTTATCGCTTTCCCTCCTCCAGTAACTTACTGTTTTCTTTCTTTGCCTCCTTCTCTTACCTGAATCTCTGGTCTTCACTAAGAGTCTGAATCACTGTGGCTCCACCAAAAGAGTGTCCAATTACTGCTATTTTATTCCTGTCGATAGAGTCCTATATGAAAGAGCATGACATATATTCATCATTATCTCACAGGTGGTTAGAATAGAATGGTTTTTCAAATTATAAAATCCTTATTCATTTCAGGGACATGGTTAAGTACTCTGATTTCTTGTAAAAGAAATACATACACACATACAATCACAGGCACTCACACACACATATACATACACATGTATGTACATATATATGCATATACATATATATACACACAAATATACATGTTGAGCATTCGTAGAAGTTCAAAAGTGACCTTGATGATCTTCCTAGGCACCCACACTTGAAACACCAACATTATTGCTGACTTCTGCCTTTCCCCACTCCACGTTTAATTCATGTGCTCATTCCATGCATATCTGTTGAGCACCTGCTCTGTGCCAGGCACTGTAGACCATTTTCAATGGGCTCCCAGTCCACCAGTGGAGAAAGAGATACAGATACATGATGCAAATACATCAGGGTGGTGCCAAGGAACACATGTGATAGATAAGTCACCAGCCCAGGGTTGGCAGTGGGGTACAAGAAAGCTTCCTGGAGGAGGTGATGCCTGATTTGAAGAGTAAGCAAGACTCAGGGAGAAGAATGTGTCAAGCCAAGGGGACAACTTATACAAAAGCAGGGAGGCAGGAGAGGGAGAGGCTGGCTAAGGGACAAAAACTCTTCTCTGTATCAGGAGAACAGACCATATCTTCTGCCTGAACTGAAGTACTTCTAATGCTCTCTAACCCTTGTACTCCATCCTCCACACACAATTTTGGGTCTTTGTTCATGCTGTCCACTTGGATGGTCCTCCACCCCCTCTCAATAGTCTGCTGAAAACTTTTGACCACCATTTCAGAATCAAGCTCAAAAATGTGGAAGCGCCATACAAGAACTTACACAACTTCCCTTGGAGGTAGTGGGTTGAACCAGAGAAATTGCTATTTTTGTAGCTCAAAGCTGGCTGTTGGCCATTTCATATCTAGTGCAATGTAATGCATTCCTCATTGCTGTAATATTTCGCATATCCTTTTTTTTTTTAATTTGCAGCCCTCTGTCATGTCATACCTTGCATTATACCAGAAAAGCAGATGAAAAGGAACAGTGCAGAACCACAAGGGAAATGGCTTTTTCTTAAGCTCACCTTCAGTTGCTCCACCTCAAACTCTAAATCCAATACATTCTTCACTGGCCTTCCACGATCAATGTCCAGAATCAAATCGAGAGCTTGGGAACACTCCTTTGCTCTTTTCTGTACCTAATATGATTATTAGAAAAAGGAAATGACAAAGTAAAAAGCTGTGACACTTATTTTAGAGTTTGTGTAGGAGTTGCATGTGGGAAGCATGGCTGATTGCTTCTAAACTGGAAATGTCCAAGTGGTTAGTGACTGAAAGACAGCCCAGCATCATGACACGGGTAGTCACAGCTCTGCGGGTAGCCAAAGCTTAGTGCAAATCCTAGCTCCGTTGCTTACCTGCTGTGTGACCTCAGGGGTCACACCATCTATTGTGTGATACATTTATTGTGTGATACATTTATTGTGTGATAATGCCTCAGTGAAATGTGGGTGGGATTAAATGCAAGGACATATATGTAAAGCACCCACTGTAAAGTCCGGCCCAGAGGTGAAAGCCAGTGTGCTTTCCCTCACCTCATCTTCCAGACACCCCTGCGAAAAAGATACTGTTATTAAAAAAAAAAAAAGAAAAAGATACTGTTATTATTCATTATGTTGTAAACAATAAAACATAGAGGCAAAACAGAGTAATCTTGTCCAAGATCAGCCCGCTATGAAGTGATGGCACCAGCATTCAAACATAGAAAGTTGGATTCTAAGGCCTGGCCTCTTCCTACTATTTCATACTGCATCTCTGTCTTTAATGTTGCCTTGGAAGGGAGGATCTTTGTTAGTTTCTTTTCTAGCACTTCTGAGTTTCTAAAATTAGAAGTTCTATGGCAAAAGATTTCTGAATATGTACTGTCTTCTCTCAGGATTTTTATGTTTGTTTTTACTATGATCCAGGCTTTTCATTAGGGGAATTGTATCACACAGAATCTTCTGACAGGTCTTTGGGGAACAGGAAATAGGAGAGTAAGGAGCACACCTTGCAGTATGTAAATGACACAAACAAGCATCATCCTTTTGCATATGCTTTTTAGTCACCACACCTCCTCCCCTCCTGCTGCCATCTACCTGTTCATTTCGTAAGGGCATCTCCTCCTCTGATTTGAGGCTTTGAAGATAGAGCCAAGATTTGTTCCCTATTTCTGCTGCAGACTGGTCTTTGAAATAGTAAGTCGCAGAGGCGGATCCATCTCTACAATGCAAACGGATTCAATGACTTACACTCGTTCTTCCTCTTCTTCATCCCCTCCCATGCTCCCCATCCCCAACTTCACCCTGATCTTTCTGACTTCCCTGTCTTCTTCCACTCTACCTTTGTTTTAAAGTCAAAGAGGCCCCCAAGGGAGGTCTAAGAAAATGTCTTTGCTATGGGTCAAGTCCACCCATTCTATCTTCACAATTCTAGGAGGTCCTTTGGAGACTCACACCAGAAATCAAATCCCAGTGCTGCCACTTACTCACCATGTGGTGAGGCAAATTACTTACCCTTTTCCAGCTTCGTTTCCCTCCTCCTTAAAACAGTGATAATAGTAGGCATTTAAAAGTGGTTACAAAGATTAAATGATGGTGCATGAACAGGGCACACAATAAACACCAGAAATGCTAGCTGCTTTTTAACTCTTGACAGTTTAACTCAGTCTCTCTCTTTTTTTTCCCTCATGATGTAACCACAGTTGACAATTTCATTGATTTTTTTTATGAATCTTTTTGAAAGTTAGAGCTCAGGTGACCTACCTGTGTTCTACAGCAGCAACTATGAACCCATGCGATGCCAGATCAATGCCAATAGCAGAATAAATTGTCCTTCAAAACAAAAAGAGGAAAGCATTGAGGTCCGGGGTCTGCTAATAAACCTGGGAACATGGAGGCCATTATACCCCCGTAGTAGTGCCTGGGGGTAACCCAGATAGCTGTGGTTCTCGAAGAGGGCAGCTCTGCCCCTCAGGGGATATTTGACAATGTCTGGAGGTATCTTCATTATCATGACTGGGCAGAGGGGGCTACTGGCATCTAGTGGGTAGAGGGATGTTGTTAAACATCCTACAGTGCACAGGACCACCCTCCACCATAAGAAATTATTTCCTGCAATATGTCGGTAGTCCCAAGATTGAGAAACCCTGATGCGGTGATTCTAAATATCACTTTTGAGAGTTCTGGGCTTTAATCTTGGCCCCACTACTTATCAGCTATATGACTCTGGGTAATTACCGAATCTTTGTCAGCACCTGTAAAATGGGACTAACAACACCTTTGCTTTAGAACAGTTGTAAAGTTTTCATAAGACAGCATTATGTAGGAAGGCAGTGCAGTGTCGTGCTTAGGAGAACAGGACCTGCAGTCTGATCCCTGCGTTTGGATCCACCACTGATCTGCCTTGGATAAGTCACTGATCTTTCCTCTGTAATGGTGGGGGACCTGGTGGGATTACTGTAAGGATGAAGTAAGTTGATACATTTTCAGTGCTTGTAACTATGTGTCTAAAACAGGGTAAAGACTGAACACAGGTCAACTTTATTTAAATGATTGGACACAGAATCATGTGCTAAACAACTGCATTCATACCCCCTTTCCATTCTTCATTCTGCACAATCTTCTCAGGTCATGCATTCAATAGGAAATGGCAATAGAGAACAAAAGGGAGGTAGTAGGAACTCTGTCTTCTACTGTTGAAGATACACAACCTACTCAGGAAGGGATCAGCAAACCTTCTCTGTCAAAGGCCAGGATGTAAATATTTCCAGCTTAGTGGGCAATACAGTATCTGTCACAGCTACTCAACTCTGCTGTCATCGCACCAAAGTAGCCACAGACAATGTGAAAGGTGGAATGAATGTGGCTGTGTTTCAATAAAGCTTTATTCATAGAAACAGGCAGAAGGCTGGATCAAGTAGAATTCAAATAACTAGCTAGACAACAATTAAAGTAACAAAGATAATTTCTTTTGATCTATCTACTTATTTATTTATTGAGAGAGAGAGAGAAAGAGAATGAGAGACAGCATGAGCAGGGGGAGGGGCAGAGGGAAAGGGAGAGGGAGGGAATCTCAAGCAGACGTGGGACTCGATCTCATGACCCTGAGATCATGACCTGAGCCAAAATCAAGAGTCGGACATTTAACCCACTGAGCCATCCAGGTGCCCCCTGAAGATAATTTCTATTGCAGATACTACTCAACTTCTTGCCAGCTAAAAGCCACCTATTTCTGAAAGTCTTATAATCCTCTGAGGTAGAAAGAAGGGTAGGCAGCTGAGAAGATGGAAGAGGAGAGGGAATGGAGGTCATGAAAATGTGCCACTCAGAGATCATGCCACAGAGAGCATAGTTGACTAAAGACCCCACCCAGCCCCTGTCCCTCTAGATCCACCACCACCAGCTAAGCTTCCTGTGGGCTGCACCCAGTGACTGGGCAAAGCATAGGTACTAATGTAGGCCGATTCTGGTGAGATGCAGGACTCCTTTGATGAGCAACTTCTGGTCAAGCGCTCCCTCAGTTGGCCTGGTCCCATCTCTCCTTGAAGTGTGCTATAATCTGAGACTCTTTGTACCAATCTCTCCATTCCCCATCTCATTCCCATGTGTCCAAGCTGCATCATGATCTGAAGGTTCTCCCTATCTTTTCCTGCTCAATTCCCTCTATCCTTCATAGACATTTCTCTCAATAAATGTCTTTTACAGGTAATCCAATCTTGGTGTCAATTTCTCAGAAGACCTAACCCAGTGGGTGGTTTTGAGAGTGTAGATAGTATAATATAGAAGGGTGACAGCCAAAAATGTAAGCCCTTCTCTTCTTGTCATGAGGCTAGTCCCCATGAGCTAGAAGGAAGGAACAAACTACTTGACAAGATAGGGCTGGACTGACAAACAGACCACAGCCAATATTTGAGGAACCCCAATTCCTCCAAGACAGGAGCCAGCATGATACTCTAAAATCTGCTCTCCTTTTGGTGGGGGCGGGGGGATTCATTCGGTCATTGGTCCTTAAGAATTAAAATTGTTCAGCCTTTCAAACATTACCGGAATGCTCCAAGACCATGAGAAAAAACAATTAGTGGATATTTTTCACCAGTCCTCAGAGGGGAATTCCAGTCTGCGGGAGTTTTCATTGAACCTAGACAACAATGAGAGATGATAATTAGTGTTTTCTCTGACTTGAATGTTGCTGGTTAATTTAACTTACATCTTCTTAGTGTAAATCCTGACCCATGGAATTTATATTTATGTTTTTATGTACTATTAGTAAATTCATTAAAAAGTCTGCTACTAGATACCTAAAAACCAAGGACCTGAAGCATGTAGTTTTTCTCAAGACTAAAAAATCATTAATCATCAGTTCTCACTGCCAGCTCTGTGCTTAAGATGAGACACTTTCCTACTTATAGGTATGTTCAATACAGGGTAGTACCAATCCCAGGTGTTGGCAAAACTTCAAAGGGAATATTCTGAAACCAAATTGAACCTCAGGAGCATTACACTGAGAACCAGAATCTTCAAATGAGGGGCTCCTTTCATTCTAATTTGGTTATGATCAAGAGAAACAGACCATTGACTTCATACTCAGCTGTGGTTTTGGATGGAGCTCTGCCACTTACTATTGATCTTGAGCAAGTTACAAGAATTCTCTGAGTTTCACCGTCCTCTTTTGAAAAATAGAGCAAACGATATCTTACAAGGCTTTTTTTTTAAAAAAAGATTTTATTTATTTATTTGACAGAGAGATAGAGCCAGAGAGCACAAGCAGAGGAAATGGCAGAGGGAGAGGGAGAAGCGGGCTCTGCACTGAGCAGGGAGCCCGATGCGGGACTCGATCCCAGGACCCTGGGATTATGACCTGAGCCGAAGGCAGACGCTCAACCATCTGAGCCACCCAGGCGCCCTCTTACAGGGCTTTTGTGAGAATGTTACCTAAGTAGGGAATATATGCAAAGCACCCATCTTGTGACATTAGTAAGGGGCTCAAAACATGGAAGATATCGTCTTCCCTTCCTTCACTTCTCAATTGCTGTTGTCATTACTATGCTCAGTTATTTGTGTTCCATTTTCTCATTTATAAAATGGAGATGGAATCATGAAGACTGGATGTGATGATCGCTCTGGAAGTGATCTGTAACTTATTCAGCACCATAAAGAGGTGTAGTTATATTTCTATATTTCTGTTATAAAGTGGTTTTTAAGAAAACCCCAAGGAGATGTTTAAAATAAATGCCGAAAGTTGTAGGCAGTTTTGAGACGGAAATTTGAAGACATAGTTAACACTGGCCCAACAGTAGTGTCTGATCAAACAGATAAGGAAGGAAACATCTATATTAGAGATATGTAGACAAACAAAGTGATGAATGCACAGCAGATTGTCTTGGGGAGAGAAGCTGTTTCCTTGGGGGTGGGCAATGGGAATGAGAGTAGAGTCTCCTCATTTACCATAGGTGAGAAATTAGCTTTCACTTTCCTACAGAGCATCCAGGGCACAGGGCATCTCAGCCAGCCCGCTACTTACTCACCAGATTATTGCTACCCCACAGTATGTAAGCAGGAAAATGAAAGACCAGCAAGAGACAGATATTACAGCCAGTCGGAAAGTCTGACACTTTCACTCCCTCCATCTACCCCAATATATGCAGAACAAACCAAATGAGAACCCTCGATTCTTTGATGGTTATCTGGGCTTTTAAGAAATACTAAGTTTAGACTGGAGAAAATCTACTTTGATCTTTGCCGGAAACTGGCTGTTTTCGAGGTTTTCTTATATTCTAGAGCCTACAAAGCAGGATCAGTGGAAATCTTACCAAAAAATAAGCTCAATATTTTGCCCATAAGCCAGTGTGTTCCAAGGTATTTACTAAGACCAAAAAAATATTCTTTGTTTGGGATCCAAAGGGTGTCAGAGTGGTGGTCATCCTCTTGGGAAGGATAATACAAACGCAAGAAGGTGCCCTGTAGAGGAAAGACATTAATGTACTTTTAGTGAGGTTGCTTCTCCAGTATGTTCCAATAGTGATTTTGCATACTTAATTAGTGGAGACCCAAATACCTTTGTTGTTCACAGAGAGGTCCAGAGAAAACTTTTTAAAGCTGCTGTGGTGATTGAAATAGAGTAGACAGAGAAGCAAAATAGAACAATATGCTTTCTGCGTGAAAAGAAAGTATGAGCATGTTGGTTTCAACCATTAAGGATGGGGAAAATAGAGAGAGTTTATTGATAAATTAGTCAGATGACAGCAACAAGTTGGGGAATGACTTAACTAGCGAAAGGCTTCCTATGGGATAAGACAAATGGCAAAATGAGTCGTTCTCAGGTGAGGGCAAGGGCAAGTTTCAAAACCCTCTAGTGGGCAATAGTAACAGTCAGTATTAGAATATAAGGATAAGTGGTATTAATCAAAGCATTACCTTCTCAGTATGATCAAACATCAAGTCTGTACAACCGACAGAATAAGGCCCATTTCCTTTGGGAATTTTAGATTGGCCAACGCTTGCAACAGCCATCAGGGCTCGTATCTCATTGGCCCATGCTGGAAAAAAAAAGGTAAATATTATCTCACTGTCATTCATTACACTCTAGACTTTATTATGCAAAAGGAAATTCCAAGGGAATCAAGTTACACCCCTTAGTTCCTGGTCTCCTTCATTTCTTTACCCAACTAGTAAAATACACAAATAATTACTGAGGGCCCGATGTAAGCAAAGTATTGTGTGGGGGTAAGGACAGAGGTGGACATAGCCCTTCCCCTTCCCCATAGGTATTTGGGTCTCCACTAATTAAGTATGCAAAGTAGCTATTGGAACAAACTGGAGAAGGAACCTCACTAAAAGTACATTAATGTCTTTCCTCTACAGGGCACCTTCTTGCATTTGTACTATCTATCCCAAGAGTATGACCACCACTCTGACAAGGGAAGACAGTATCTTCCATGTTTTGAGCCCCTTACTATGTTCGTAGGTTCACAAGTTAAATCTCAAGTTCCTGGGCACTGTAAGAAACACCCTCTGTGATCTGAAGGTCCACTGCCTTGTGCTCTTCTTCTGCTTTTTCCTTTAAGTTATCCACCTTCCACATGCTTAAGACTATCACGTCCTAATACTTACAGCCTTGCCCTTAGCTTCTACTCTGATCCAGATCATGGCAAAGACCACTTCCCCAATCTGTTTTTCCCAAACATAAACCTAACCTCACATTTCAGATCTGGGCCTCCAGCTTCCTATTGGGTGCCTCCACTCGCTGTCCTTCCCGTTAGGAACATCAAGGCCAATGGTCCAAAATAAGATTGAATGGCCATCTCCCAACGCTCCCTCCCTTATCCTCCAACCACACAGCCTGCAACTCCAGCATTCCCTGTCTTGTGCAACCCAAGCCAGAAACCCGGGAATCAGCCTCCTACTTCCTTCTCATCAACCCCCTACATCCAACTAGGTCTCAATTTCTAACACATGTTTTTAGCTTAGAATTCTCTCCAGTATAGCCCTAGTCCCCTAGCTCAGCTGTCTATTTATACGTTCACAGTCTCCCGACCAGGCAGTTGTCATCTCTCCTAACTGTCCTATTCATCTTGGATCTTGGCCTCTTCAAATTCATCCTTCTTCACACAGCTCTTGGAGTGATTTGAAGCACAAATTTCACCAGGCAATGCTTCTGAAAATTTTTCAATGGGTGTCTATCACTAAGTGGGTACTTCTGAAGGGGGAATGTATTTGAATCTTTGTGGAAGGCAGTTTGTAGGGTGGTATTTAAATCTACACATGCCTTCCTATGCTACATCCATTGCTACTTGAGGCACAAATGTGGCCTATCCTTCCAGTGTTTCAGGGTTGAAAGGTATAGAGTTCATAGGTGCACAAGTTAAATCTCAAGTTCCTGGGCACTGTAAGAAAGACCCTTTGTGATCTGAAGGTCCACTGCCTTGTATTCTTCTTCTGCTTTTTCCTTTAAGTTATCCACCTTCCACATGCTCCAGCACTCCCAAGCTACACACTGAGCTGTCTGATGCCTCTGCACCTTAATAAATTCCATTTCCTGTGTTTGAAATCCCAATGGCAAACTCCTGTTCAACCTTTAACATCGTGATCAGATGTTAGGTCTTCTCTGAAGCTTTCCCTCACTCCCTAGACTTAGTCATTTCAACCTCAATATCAAATCAATTTCCTGTATATATTTTTATCATTCTTCTTATCCTATATATTAAAATGATGTGTTTGCATACTCTGTCTCCCTCACTAGGCTATTTCTTAAGAGCTGTATACATGTCTTTGGGTCCTCAGATCTTAATGTTGGCACATAGTTGGTGCTCCATAAATATTCGTGAAGTGAGCTGAGCTAAGCTTTTCATTGCCACTGGGCTCTCATTTGCATCAAATGCTTTATGGCATATATCCTTTTACCCACCTACTCTTGAAACTGTCTCTCCCTGTTTGGTGCCAAAACTCTTCAAAGTACCTGCAGTTTTATCCGTTCTCCTTTCTAAACCCCATAGAAGTCCGTATTTACTTGTAAGATGGTGAGTCCAAATATCACTATATCCAGACTTTCGCATTTCTTGATTCAGCTTGCCTACATATTTTCTTTTACTGGATTGTAAGAGTCGATTTCTCTGTTAGACTCCTTCAAGCTTTCCATCACATTCTGTCTCTGCCACTAAGACACTTGGCGCTATGTTAGATATGGAACTTACATCGATATCACAGGGCATCACCCAGAAAGGTTTTGAGTTATGAGAAGAAGTCCATCTTTCATGCTGGTGACTAATGTATGAAGACCTGCCAGTGACAGGCCCTTTAATACATAAGGCTTGCTCTCAAAGTTGGTCCATGGATCAGCATTACTGGCATCACCTGGGAGGTTGCAAATGCAGGATCTTTAGCCTTAGCCCAATGCTACTGACTCAGAAAAGCCGTGCCTATTAAAGTTAAAAAGCACTAGGCTAAGTACCAGACCACCTGGTCTGACACATGGGTCAACAATTCATCGTCCATAGGTAAGGAAGGAGTTTCAAGGAAGGCAGGAGGTGAATGGACCTGGGGTATTAGAGCCAGGTGATCCTATTTTGGATTCCAGCTAGACCTCTGATGCTATAATGCTCTGGCCTAGGCAATTCACTCCCCGCTCTTATCCTCATTCGTGAAGTGGGGCAAAAAGCACTTGACCAGCCCACAGGACAGCTATAAGAATGAAGTGATAATGTAAGTCAAGTGCCTAGCACGGAACACAACACATAATCGGCAGACAACTGATATTATGTGGCCCTTACCTAGAGTTAGTTGACTCTGGCTACCCAGATTTAAGCCCTTAGAGGAGTGTTAGCAGATCTAAACTAGACCATACCATTTTCCCTTTGGGCAGATTCAAGGTGTTTTTTCAGACATTAAAAAACAAGAAAAACAACTTCACCCAGAAGGTGCACATTTTCAGTCCTATTTAGAAAGGCTCTTTCTTTCCTATTTAAGACTGTCTACCAAGCCATGCTTTGTGGTGAAAACAGGGAGACCCCAATCCATAGGGAGACACCACACCTGTCTTTCCCTCCTCGAGGAGCGGCTGTGTTCTGCTGCGCCGACACCCACATCAGCCATGAGGTGACAGTACCGGGTTGGAAGGGGTAGGACTCTGGCTCACACATTTTGAGGAGGAGCCCCAGAGAGCACACAGTTGCCTTGGAGGTACTACCTCTGGAAGTAGGAGTTCAGTTCTAGGGCCCTGGGAGGGTTCCGAGTCACACAAGTTTTCTCTATGAGATCTCAATGCCACAAAACCTCTGGGAACCTTTCTCAATCACCTGGCAGTACCCTGGTTCTCTAAAACCTGTGCTACCTCAAAGCCTCCTCACTCAGCATTCAGGAGCCTCAGGTCAAGATGAGGCTACAGGGCTGCTTATTCTGAGACACTTGACCTCTTGGGAAACCTGGAGCTGACCCGGGTTGGGGTGTAGGTCTACAGAGCCCTGTGGCTGTTCAGTGCCAGGGCGGTTGCCGGAAAGTTTCATCGGCCTGCAGCTAATCCAGTCATGGTCCTGGATTTCCTGTTCTCAAACCATCTGTTAGATCAGGGCTCATCAGGGCTCATCATGAAGGATGAGGCAGGAGGAGGCTTGACAGGTTGAATGGCCACCCTCTAGAGGATGCAGTTTGTGGTTCAGAACTTACATATGTCTGGTTAGCCAGCATATAGTACATCTTAAGTTTGTGATGTAGTGTTCAATGATTCATTAGTTGTGTATAAAAAAAAATAAAATGATGAATAAATGTGAAAAAAACAACTATTCAAAAAAAAGGTAGAGATGCACCCCAATGTTCAAAGCAGCAATGTCCATAGTAGCCAAACGGTGGAAGCAGCCAAGATGTCCTTCAACAGATGAATGGATAAAGAAGATGTGGTTCATACATACAATGGAATATTACTCAGCCATCAGCAATGATGAATACCCACCATTTGCATCAACATGGATGGAACTGGAGGGGATTATGCTAAGTCAAATAAGCCAACCAGAGAAAGACAATTACCATATGGTTTCACTCATATGAGGAACATAAGGAATAGAGCAGAGGACCACAGGGGAAGGGAGGGAAAACTGAACGGGAAGAAATCAGACAGGGAGACTAACCATGAGAGCCTTTGGACTCCGGGAAAGAAACTGAGGGTACAGAAGGGAGGGGGGGTTGGGAGATGGGATAACTGGGTGATGGGTATTGAGGAGGGCATGTGTTGTGATGAGCACTGTTGTGTTACATGCAACTAATGAACCATTGAACACTACATCAAAAACTAATGATGTACTATATGTTGGCTAATTGAACATAATAAAAAAAGGTAAAAAAATAAATATTTTACTTCATTTGTTACACATAAAAAAACTTATACATGTCACGTCCTATTTTTCTTTAACTTTAGTTTAATAGGAGCATTAGAACCCATTGAGTGCTATGTATCTTGTTACACATTTCCGGTGGTGTTCATTTGTCAAGTATTCCTGATATTCACTCCTGGGTTTTGAGACAGATGTATATATGCCAGGAACATGACATTTTCTTACACAGCTTTATGTCCTCCACTCACAAAAAGGATATCTCTAGCCCCTACTTTGCCTGCATAACCATATTTATTATGTATTCATTTGGCTAGATGAATATAAACAATTATCTATTACTTTAATACTTTATTTAATAAATGATTTCTAATAATTTACAAAATATTTTTGCATTCATTTTTGAGCACTGAGAATGGGGCATTGGGCTCAAGGCTGGGGCTACAAAGATGAATAAAGTTGTGTCTCTTTCCCCAAGTTTCTGCCAGTCCAATGGCAGTTTTCCAATGATTTTCAAATATGAGGGGGATATAAGACATGTTTTGAAATTCCCACCCTGTACCAACAAGAAGTTCATGATGTAAATGTCTCCTCGCTGATAATCTGCTCATCATGTAAGATGCTACTTGTTTCCAATCCTTGGAAAAGGTACTGGGAAAATTAATTTAATGAGGCTGGAAGCTCCTTGAGCTTGTCCACAAGCTCACTGTCTCAGTCACTGGTGCCCCAGCTTCCTGATAAGTGTTGTTGAATGAGTGCACCTGTGAGATATTATGCCATCTCCTACGCAAATGTAGATACAACATACAGTCCTTCCTACAGATGCTTTTACTTCCCTATGAAGTAGAGCAATATTTATCAGGCACAAGGTGATGAAAGCTCTTTTGTAAATGTTACAATAAGGAGTCACCCATCTAACCTGAACAGCTAGATCCAGCGTGACCAGGTGTGTGGCCACAGACAGTGTGACACCATTCAGAAGCCACCTACATGGTTCACCTGAGGGGAAGCTGGATAGAGAAGAGCACAGAGCACAACACTCTGGGACTTGCAGGCATTCGCAAAGCTCCAGAAGCAATCTCTTTGCAGTAAAGATCTTTCTTGGTGATGGCAGATGTACTTGTCTAGAGATGGCTGCCTCACTCTGGCCACCTCTTCTGGGCTTGACTAAACCTCCGCCTCCTCTCCTTCCCTCCCACCACAAGGTAAGAGAGAGCAAGAGATGCACGTCCATTCTCACCCGGAGCTCTTCAGCTTGTCCCTACCTCTTCCTGTGATGACAGCGAAAATACTATTTCCCTCTGGGCCCCAAGACCCTAACTTGCCATTTTCTCACATCTCCTCCCAGTACGAACCAGGACTATACTTGTTGATCAAGACAACTGCCTGTCCTTCGCCCTCCGTGGGAGCAGGTCTTGCAGTTGCCTCTGACGGAGCTCCAGGGGGTTGTGTCACTGCACCTGCGTGGGCGCAGGTTACGGCGGCAAGAGAGTTAAGAGGCCGGGTTGAGGAAGTTCTCCATGGTGGTTGCGAGCTGAGCTTCCAGTTTGTCTGAAAATGCCTCACCTTGGTTCTGTCCTGCAGTCATGATGTTGAAGAAGACAGGATTTTGTTCAGTTTCAGTTGCAATGAGGAGCAAGTGAGGCTCTGTCCCCTACCCCAGGAGAACACAAGGTCTCCATGAGCCTCCTTGTAATAAAACTTGGTTAGAAGTCCACACATGCATCTGCTCTGGGGCCACGTGGAGTCTGGCAACGGGTCATTTGCTCAAGCCCTTGAACAAAGAGACCTCTTACCTGATGATCTAATATGGGCAGCAGGATTTAGGTCTTGCCAGTCAATAGGATGGACCAGTGTGAGGCAGCTGCAGAGGCAGAAAAGCGCATGCAGTTTGGGTGGCAACATCTTGGAAGCTGAGCAGTGGTTTCAGCTTAACCTTCTTCAAGGCAGGTTATTAAAAGAAAAAAAACATGCAATAAAGAGGACTTAAATAGGTTGACATATCAGTGTGATTAAGGTACTAGCAACACGACTTTATATATTATTAAGGGAAGAAAGCACCTGGAAACAAAGCAACATGCACTGTCTGAACTGGGTTTTTGAAAGGCATCAGGGTGGCAAAATCCTTGGTAATGCTGGCCTGTAGAGCAGAGAAATAACACTTCTAGCAGTCATAGTAGGTTTCTGGTCACTCACTCTCTAACTCTGCAGCAGTCTGGTTTGGTTATAAAGAATAGCATCAGGGGGCGCCTGGATGGTGCAGTTGGTTAAGTGTCCAACTCTAGGTTTCAGCTCAGGCTGGGATCTCAGGGTCATGAGATCAAGCCCCACGCTGGGCTCTGTGCTCAGCACGGAGTCTGCTTAAGATTCTCTCTCCCTCCTGCCCCGTCTCCCCAAAATAAATAAATAAATCTTTAAAAAAAAGAACAGAATCAAACTATAGTAACTGTAACAATCATAGATCACAATCATAATAATATCCATAAGCATGCCTAGCACATTAGTGAACACTCTGTAAGTTTTGGCAAATGTTTCCATCACAATTATGAAATGATCATACTGCTGCAGCTATGACTGTTTTGGTGCTGATGACATTTTATTTTGGGGGATCTCTATAATCCTCCTATACTGAAACCTTCCCAAAGGCAGAGGTCAGGTCCTATGTATGTTGCCGCTGCTGAACAGAGGGCCTAGAATGCAGTGGTGTTGCATGAATGTTTATAGACTTCATGAATGAATATTTGTAGTCCCACAAACAGCATACTAGACTCATGCTACTAAGAAATGATATTACAATTGGGCGCTATGCTAACATCTTATTAGCAAAAACTATATTGTATTGGTGTATCACCTGTACGCTTTAGAAGTTCTCCCTTTGAAAAACTGCATTGTCTCTTCACTGATAATAACTTGCTAACGGATTTTTTCCAGATGTATTTCTATGCTTGAACACGCACATAGAATACATACACACATATACATGCATACATATAAACATACGTATATAAAAGAGTTTTAAAATTTGTTTCCAGTGCTTCAAGTTATACTTTTAATTTGATAGTATGTTTAGAGTACCTGGCACTATAATTTGTCTTTTTATTTTAAAATGGCACTTAGGAGTTGTTCAAAAAAGTTTGTTCACTGGGGCACCTGGGTGGCTCAGTCAGTTAAGTGCCCAACTCTTGGTTTCGGGTCAGGTTGCGATCTCGGGGTCGTGAGATTGAGCCCCGAATCTGGCTCTGCACGCAGCACGGAGTCTGCTTGAGATTCTTTCCCTCTCCCTCTGCCCCTCCCCTTGTTCTTGCTCTCTCACTTTCTCTCAATAAATAAATAAAAAAAAATTTTAAAGATTTTTATTTATTTATTTGACAGAGAGAGAGACAGCGAGAGAGGGAACACAAGCAGGGGGAGTGAGAGAGGGAGAAGCAGGCTTCCCACTGAGCAGGGAGCCCGATGCGGGGCTCGATCCCAGGACCCTGGGATCATGACCTGAGCCGAAGGCAGACGCTTAACGACTGAGCCACCCAGGCGCCCCATAAAATATTTTTTTAAAAAGTTTGTTCACTAAATAAAATAGCAATGTTGCCAACATTTGAAGGCTTAATATGTGCCCAGCATTTTTCAGTTTCTGGAACAGGTTATCTTATTTGGTCATCACTAAACAATCTGTAAGGGAGGTTTAATTGTCCCCATTGTATTGATGAGGAAATTGAGGCAGGGAGAATTTAACTGACTTGTCCTCCTCACGCAGCTAGCAAGGGCTGGAGGCGCAGCTTGACCCCAGAATATCCGAGTCCCTGCTTTTAACCACAACACACCAACTTTGGGTGGCACCGATTTTTCTTCACCCTAAAATGATAATCTTCTGAAGTTAATGAACCCGATTCTTTTAATGATGCTCATGTGTTCAGGAACGTCCTGGACTGAAAAGATGACTTAATAAAGAGTTAGAAATTTTTCTCTAAAGAGATGAGCATCTGTCTCACTGTTCTTGCCCTAATTTGTATTTGGAGCAACATGCCAGAACCCTTGGAAACAGCAGAGTACTGTGTCTGAATCCAGAGAAACAGCTACTGAGTTTCCCAAATAACCAACAGAAGAAGCTGAACCAGAGTCAGGCTATCTGCTCACCAGCCTCCAGCACTCTCCTGCTGATGGACAGTCACAGCTGGGTCTTTCATCATATAACATCATCCACAGAAAGTATGTACAGGGACATGAGCAGAGGGCTTGAGAAAATCCCACCCGTAGTGCTCACAGCCCATGACTGAATAAAAAGAGTGTCATTTGGCCATTTGGAAAATCTCGGGGACAACGGGGAGGAAAAAGCAAGGCAAAGTGGAACACACAGGGAGGTCAACAGAGAGTTTTTAGAAACATCACACTAACCCAAAGGAAGTTTGCTTGGTCACAGCTCCTTGGGGTTCGTGACATCTTCGCTTTAACGATCTCAGGAAGAGTGAGAGACAGCCAATTGTTGGAAGGGCTTCCCCAAGTCCTCCAAGCAAGACTGGGGTGCTCTGCCCGCCCCATGCTTCCTGCCAGACCTGTACCAATGCCATAGCCTGTGGTCCTCAGCTTGAAGCAGGGCAGATTTAAGGGCAGGTGAAATGGCACACTGAGTTCCCACCCTGACCCATTGCAAGCTACAGTGGCTCCTGGGGAACATTTGTCCATACTGCCTGGGGCGCCTGGGTGGCTCAGTTGGTTAAGTGTCCCACTCTTGGTTTCGGCTCGGGTTGTGTTCTCAGGGTCTTGAGAGCAAGGCCCAGTTGGGCTCCAAGCTGGGCGTGGAGCTTGCCTAAGATTCTCTCTCTCCCTCTGCGCCCCCCCCCCCCCCCCCCCCCCTCCAGCTTACATTCCCAAAAAGAAAAAAAAAAAAAGAGAGAGCATACTGACAGATTCCTGAGTCCCACCCCAGGCCTACTGATTCAGAATCTTTAGGCATGTCTGAGCATCTCTGCTTTAGTTCCTGAGGGATCCCAACACAGCCACGCCCAGAATGTAGTATTTGGAAACTGCTACAATGGAACAAAAAGAGTACTATTTGTTTATTATTTTTATTTATTTATTTATTATTTTTTTATTTTCGTAAACTCTACTCCCAATGTGGGGCTCAAACTCACGACCCCGAGATTAAGAGTCGCAGGCTCTACCAACTGAGCCCAGGTGCCCAGAGGGTACTATTTGTACTCACCGGCCTATCATATGTGCTGTCTGCTCTCATCCTCAAAGTAGTAACCCTCTAAATAATTTAATGATTGGCTGCCTCATTCATTCATTCATTTGTTCATGTATTCACCTATTCAATTTTCGGAACGCCAATGTGTCAGTCTATGCTTGGGATAAAAAGATTTCTAAATTTTTTTTAAAAAAGTTTTTTAAAATCGATGTGATTTTTCTGTCCAAAATTCCAGTGGGTTGAGAGACTTTGAAACGATTATGATGAATGCTGTAAACAGAGTCTTTACAAAATGTGGTGGGAATAAAGGTGTAGCGGACATAACTCAGAAACAAATTTTAGCACCCTGCATTTTTCATTTTGGGGGAAGAGGATCAGTGAAAGCCAAGCTGCAGGTCCAGCCTGAAGTCACACAGTCACTATCTGTGGGCAGGACTGGAGGGCAGGTCTTGTTCCTCTGACCCCAGCATACTGAGTGAGAGAAGGACCCAAATGCGGTCCCTCTCCTTCCTCCACCTTCTGAACGCCACAGAAGGCACTGCCTTCCACTGCTGCCTCAGGCCGGTGTGCTCTGGGCGGGGCGGGGGAAGCTGTGCCAAGACTGTCCCCCACTGGTGGCAAGACAGCTGGGTCCGACGCAGTGGACAATCATCACCAAAGTTTCCCTACAGTCAAGAAAGGAGGCCTTCTCTGGGCCTGGTTCCTCAAGGGCACCAGAGAAGAAGGTGCTTCCCACCTCAGCCAGCAGAGGCTCTTGCCTGGGCAGAGTCAAGCCAGGGAGCCACCAGCCACACAGAAGGCCACCCCCTCCGCTCTGACAGTGCTCTGTACAGGTCCCCATGTGGGCACTCTGCAGCCTCTGCTACTAGGCTCTGTGGACAGAATTGCTTCACCCAGTAGCCTGTGAGCTCCTCCGGGGCAGGGATTGATCCCACAGGCCATTTATTATTATAACTTAACAAAGGGCCCAGTACATAGCAAGCACTTGGACATACCTCTTGAATGAGGAGGAAGGATCTTATCTTCTTTTTGGTGTGGGCTCCCAGGTAGCCCAGAAACAGGCCCTGATGATTTCGCACCAGGTGTGACTTCTCCAGACACTGAAGTGGGTAGGGGTCATTTACGCGGGCTTCAGGGCCTAAAGCCCAACTGCCTGGGTCTGAATCCTCGCCTTGACGCCAGTAGTGTGACCCCCTGCAAACTATGGAATCCCCTGTGCCTTATTTCCTCATAATAAGGGGCTGAGGATAATGGTAACCCATATGATCAAATGGTTAATATACATTAAACAGTGTTTTCGCATGTAGCTAAAGGCAAATGTTAGCATACTCATTTTGCATTGCTACCAGTACGCCTTGCCCCTAGGTAAGTAGTTGCTTAATAAATGTTAAAGAAATAAAAGCTAGTGCATCAATCAAGACCTTGAGATAAGAACAGGAAAAGGCATCCTTGATCATCACCCCCTTTGTCCATAGGCGTTCTGCTGAATAGATCTTATAGTTTTATTAAGGGCTCTAACAACCCCTAAGCGTTATAATTAGCATTTTTCCTATATTTCTCAGGGAACTTTGTATTCACTGGCCTTCTTCCCCTCTGTAGCCTGCTAGGGCCCTCAAAAGGCCTGGGTTACCTCTTGTCCTCTACCACCTGCTTCTCAAGACTTATGAAATGTCCCTCCTTTCAGCTCCTTACTTGGCTTCTCAAGGTAACAGCTCCCTAGTCTGACAAACTGCTAAGAGGTTCTGGTGTGCTCATGA